ATGTCAAGGGGAAACCTTTACCTTTTACCTATGATGTATTTATTATATATTATAAACAAATATGAAGATAGTTGAAAGTTTCATCCCTTGGGCCTCCAGTCCAACATCTTGGGGAAAGCTGAAGATATCTGTCTGAGATCCTGGTGAGTTGCTGCCATTCAGACTAGGTACCATAGAGAGGTGGTCCAACACAACTTCAATACAACAATACTGTCAACTTTGGGGAAAAGTCAAGAGCACTACAGTGAAAATGATGGAAACTCTGGGGCATCTTATGAAGAAAGAATCCAGGTGATTTGCTTGAGAAAGCAATTGATTTAAGGGAGGCATAACTGTTTATACATAGACAAACTGCATAAGAAAAGTGGAATGAGGGGAATTATTTGCCTTCAAAATACCAGGATTCAAGGTCATCCCATTAAATCAATTGCTTACCCTTTATGTGCTGCATCTATGTTTATGGAGAGAGAAATTTTCCATTCGCCAGTTATGGGAGGCAGTGCGATGTGGCACTTGTGCCTGTGCCCAGCTTCTGCAAATTGGAAGTCTCATTAAATATCAAATCCTATAAATGCCACAAATTAAATGTTGGTCTTTTGATAAACAGCTAGTTTGTGATGGCTATTAAACATAGCTGTCCCTCTGACATTTATCGCCAACAAACATAATCAAATGCAAGGGCTAGTCAGTTATAGTTTCCCGATTGGAACATAGAAGCAGTTAGGTTTTCATCATGCCGAAATGTGCTTGTTTCTCCTCATTTTGGATGGGAAGTTTACTTTTCAATGCAATGCTCGGGGGGCATTAGGGAGATTTATTCCAGGGAGTTACGATGAATTCTGTATGCACAGGAAACGTGCTCCCTCGTAGCAGTTCAGATTATTTGTCCATCTAAGCTGCTTTGAGTCTCTTTTGTAGAGAGAGAGAGGGGGGGGGGGGGGGGGGGTAATAACAACAACAACTTTTATTTTATTTTATTTTATCCAGCCTCACTTCTTTCTCCCAGAAATGGAAGTCAGGGCATCTTATATTTAGATTAAAAGGTTTTATAAACAGGCAAAAAGAATATTTAAACTAATTTAAGCACATTTTCGGACCTGTATTTGCACTCTCTTGAAATGAAAGGCTGGTCTCATCTCCCTTGGAAAGAAATGCTGTTTGGTTTGATTTGACTTGCCATGGCTCTCCAGGGACTCAGACTGAGAATGGTTATTTCTACCATCCACTAAGTGTGCATCTGCACTGTAGAATTAATGCTCCTATGACACAGCTCAATGTCATAGGATCATAGGAGGAGTAGTTTTACAAGGTCTTTAACATTCTTTACCCAAGAGTCCTGCTGCCTCACTAAACTACAATTCCCAGATTCCATAGCATTGAGCCATGGCTGTTAAAGTGATGTCAAACTGTATTATTTCTACACTGTAGATGCACCCTGCTTGATCATTTAAAGCAGTGGTTCCCAACCTTTGTTTGACCAGGAACCCCTTTGAGCAGGGACCTCTTGTCCAGGGAGCAATTTGATCAAGGACCACTTGACCAGGAACCACTTTGACCAGGGACCTCTTGTCCACGGACCTCTTTGATCAGGGACCGCTTTGACCAGGGACCTCTTGACCAGGGAGCAATTTCATCAGGAACCACTCTCCAACATTTGCACCAAAAGGATTACAAATCAGTTTTTGGTCCACTTTAGATTCAGTTTGGGGTGCTGATTCAGAAAATTGCATTGGATAGGCCACATCAGCTCTAATTTCTGTTACAGAACATATGCCATGGTCAGAGACAGGGAAGGAATGGCAGGCAGCATGAAAGGAGCAGAAATAAAATAAAATAGCTCGCTGACCAGATTTTTGTACTCGCTGCCCACTGGTGGTCCACAGCTCACAGGTTAAGAACCACTGATTTAAAGAGATAAACTCAATGATGGAACCTAAGACCCTTTGTAGGCGATGCAGCTGCTTTTGTCGCTGAGCTGATTTTTATCAGAGATAGCATGTGGCTTTGCGCAAGCTGATGGCACATACCTCACAACATTTCACAGATAAAACCTGAAATTTCATGTGTTCAAGCAACATCAAAATGTGGTCAAGATGGCAACAATTCTTTTGTTGTTGTTGTTGTTTTGGATTAATCCTTTTTATTAAGGCTTTTCCAAAGTACATTTAAAAGAGGGGGAACATATCAGATATATAGGAAAGTAGAAAAATGGGATAGTAGGAAGTGTTTTATATACCACTTATATACCACCTGTCACATCAGCACTTTTAATCCTGTACCCATTACTCTGGCCCGGCCCAGTTTTATTGTGTCTTAGTGTATTGTTTATTGCTTGTTGTTTATATTGCTTTAATGGTTTTTAATTTGCCTTAGGTTTTGTATTGTTATATTGTGTGTTGAGGCCTTGGCCTTTGTAAGCCGCATCGAGTCCTTCGGGAGATGCTAGCGGGGTACAAATAAAGTTTAATAAAAATGTTTAATAATAATAATAATAATAATAATAAATGTTTAATAAAAATAATAATAATAGGTCAGTCGTGGGGGTAGGGTCGATGGATAGTTATAGGTGGGGGGTAGGAGAATGGGGGGTAGGATGGGGAATTGGGGAATTGGGTCTTCCAGTCCATTCCACAGAAAGGTATTGTTTCTATGTTGCACTTAATTCTTTAAGTTTTGCTATCTAATTGTTTCAGGTTACTTTTGTTCAGATTATTCACTCCCTTTTACTTATTCAGTTTTGTTTTTTCCTTTAGATACATTCTCAATTATTTCCAATCTGTTTTGCTCGTTTTGTTCTGACTTTTTAATAGCTGCGATAGTGTGTCCATGTTCATGTAGTCTGCTATTTTAATGAACCAGTCCTCAATTGTTGGAGATTCTTTCTTTCTCCATTTCTGTGCTATTACTATCCGCACCGCAGTTGCCAGATAGAATAAAACCTTATCTTTATTTTTTTCTATCTCAAAGTCTATTATATTCAACAAGTAGTACTTGGGCTTCAAGTCAAATTTTATTGTCATAATGTTTTGAGTGTGTTTGTGAATTGCTTTCCAGCACTTTTTGGTTATTTTATAGCCCTACCATGAATGATAATAGGATCCAAGTTCCTTCCCGCATTTCCAGCTTTGGTTATCATAATTCTTATAATACTTTGCTAGCTGTTGTGGTTTAAGGTGCCAGCGATAAAACATTTTGTACCAATTTTCTATTATGTTGACAGATCTTGTGTATCATAGTTTTTTCTTCCATATTTGTTCCCAATCTTTTAACAGTATGGAGTGTCCTATGTCTATTGATCATTTTATCATATTTCCTTTAATCAGTTCCTTCTCTGTGTCCCATTCTAATAGGTTCTGATAAAGTATTTTTTATTAACTTTTCCCCCTTTTTTCATTATACAGTCCCAGGTTGTTTCTTGTGAGTTAAAGCCTTTCTTTTTGTCTTCTTTAAAACCCTCTTTTATCTGTATGTAGTGGAACCAACTCATATTCTCCTCAGATTCATGCAACTCTTCTAGTATTTTCAAATGCCATTCATTATTCTGTTTTTCTAATAGTTGTTTATAGGTATGCCATTTTTCTCTAAAGATGGCAACAATTCTTAATGACTAGGATCACATACGCTAGGAGAAATAGCAGTAGTTTCGTTTTGTCTGAATTTACAATAATGAGTAGGATGCTCCTTTTGCACTTTGAACTCAGTTTGAAGCAATCAAAGTAAGCTGAAGACCAAGGGTGGAAGGAGAAAATCTGAGACATTTCAATAGCAGTTGGGAAAAATGGAATGACAAAGGATTAATTGGGACTGTTTTGGGACTGGAGTAGTTGGAGGGCATACTACAGTATGACAGTGTTGTGACTGAATGAACAATGGTTGCGGAGAACTTCCTTGCCAGTTTTACTAAATTCTTTTAAGAATTACTGCCAAGTGAAGCCTAGACCCTACTATTAGTGCTGACTAGAAAAGACCTAGCAAATCAGTGATTCAGTGAATCTACTCTAATTAGGATTAACCAACAAGATTCAAGTCTGCACATGATGCCAGCCAGAGTAATAAATCAGTAGAAAAAACTAGGGAGTGGGTGAAAGTATATGTTGTGCATATAATATATGCCAATTGTTAAATGCTGTGAGATGCAATCAAATGGCCAAAGGCTGGGATTTGAGAAACCCAGATTTAGATCTTTACTCAACTGTGAAAATCAGAGGGTGGCCTTCAGCAAGTAACTTCATGTTACCTATATTACTCCATACATTAAGCGTGCATCTGCCTTCCTAACCTACTGTGAGTGGAGAATGCCAATCCTATCTTGGCCTCTTGATTCCTGTGACATTCTCATTCATTGAAAATGCACCAGGGCCTTTGGTAAAGTCTGTGTCTACATATTAGCATGTGCCAAGCAAAGGTTACTCATACTGACAAGAACAACTAGTACAACTTTGTGGTGTTTGTTTTGTGGTTGTATTTATTTATTTAGAACACTTTTGCCCCGTCCTTCTCAACCTCCAAAGAGGGACTCAGGACGGCTTCCAACAGGTCACTATTCACAATAAAACATAGCATAAAATACAGTGAAATCATTAAACAATTGTAAATATACATTAAAAAGTTCGCCAAGTTAAAATCGTATATCTCAGAATGGAGTGCATCTACCCAGAGAATATCACCAAGGCTATTTGTGAGTTTTTCTTCAAACTGCCAGGTTGAGGTGTGTATCTAATTAGGTAGCAGAAAGCTTCAACCACTATTGTTAAATCTAGTTTTTTCTCTTTTCCTCCTGTCTGAGATCATAGGACTACCTTGTTCAATGCGAACTCCTCTGAATACAGGCCTGATCTGCTGAGATCACATGGAATCTAACAGTTGTTTTTGAACATTTCAGACCTGCTGCAGGATATGTCTTCCCTAAGACTTGGTTCATAAATCTTCTTAGTTTACAGTTTAATTATTTTGCTCATTTCTTCTTTTCTTTCTCTGTCTTCCCCTCCCTTTTCCCCTAGCTGGAGAAGGAACTGTCAAAAAAGCTGGAAGAATTAGAAGGTAAAAGGCTGCATTTCACAGAACATTCTTATTTATGCCATGTTTCCTCTGCGGGGTGGTGACACTTTTCTATATTTACGGCAGGTGAAATAACAAGCTACCAAGATGAAATAGAGATTGAATTAGAGAATAGCAGGCCAAAAGCAAAAGGAGTTTATGCAAATTACAATAAAGATGGTAAGTCTATTTAAAATTCATTCACTAGGAATACGTTAAAAATTGATGATTTTACTGCAAATGTATAAATGTCTCGGATTTGACCGTAGTGAAGAACGTCATCCATTTGTGGGTTACAAAAGCACAGGCGGAATGACATGAAAAGGAATGGATTTTCTAGTGCAATCTGTCCTTGAGCTCTCCTGTTGTGTTGGATTCTATTTTCCTTGGATAGCTTCTACTAGAGTTTGGAAACATTACTTTTCGGGCTTCAATTTCCAGTACAGGAACTGGTTGAGCTGGTTCTATGAGTTCTGAGAGTTGTACTGGGGGGAAAAACCTTTTTTTTTTTCAATATATGCCCACTATTTTTATGATTGAGCCTGCCAGAATCTGAAAAAAAAGATCCTTTCAATTATGGTATAGAACACTGTTTTTTAAACTGTGAGTCTTGACCCCAAATGAAGTCTCCTTAGCTCAATATTGGGGGGGGGGGGTCACAAAAATTTGGAAACAATAAAATATTTCTGAATGCCATCCATTTATATAAACTTGTTAGCAAAAATGTGCAATGCTTACAGTGGACTCTGCAGAAAAGGTTTCAGCTATACTCTACAAACAAGAAAATCAGCCTGTTTAGCAAGTCCTGCAAATGGTGATTTATAGGCAGTAAATGCTTACTTTTTTATACCTTTTTTCTATACCTGTGACCATGTAATGCTTGCTTAGGTGGAAAGGGCTGCTAGTGGAAAAAGGTTTAAGAAGCTTTGGTATAAAACAAGATGAGGAGCAAAGAGTCCTTCGGGTATAATCAGGCTGCTATTCCACATCATTGTTCGCTGGGGGCTGTGCTACTTCAGGTCAATAAAATTGACATCCAGAAACATCTAAAGCAGTACAGTGAGTTGTTGTGAGTTTTCCAGGCTGTACATCTTGAGCAATCTCATATTGGGGATCAGCATTTACCATTTTCTAATATGGCAAAGACTTGCACTAAATTTATACCCATTGACTTAAATGTGTCTTTCTTTCCTGGATAATTGTTGGAGATACTTGCGTTGCTAGGGATTGTCACTGCTCCAGGGGCCGACGCCTTGTCATATAATTCTAAAATCGGTTCAGGAAGGGAAGAAGCGCTAGAGCTCATATTGGAAACATACACTTGAAAATTGAACCTACCAAAGAATTTCAAAAAATAGAAAACCAGAAAAAAAATGTATAGACTATGAAAAACTATAGATTGGTAGGCCAAAAAATTTGATTGTGTTGATTCATAACCTGTACTCAGAACAAGAAGATACAGTTACGGCAGAATACAGAGAAATAGAATGGTTTCCAATTGGTGAGGGGGTCAGGCATGGCTGAATTTTCAAGGTTTTTCTATTTAATTGATATGCCAAAGATATAATATGTAAAACAGGATTAGATTTGGGACTAAGTGACATGAAATTTCAAGGAAGAAACATCATAGAATCATAGAATTCTAGAGTTGGAGGAGACCTCATGGGACATCCAGTCCAAAACCCTGCCAAGAAGCAGGAATATTGCATTCAAAGCACCCCCGACAGAGGGCCATCCAGCCTCTGCTTAAAGCTTCCAAAGAAGGAGTCTCCACCACACTCCGGGGCAGAGAGTTCCACTGCTGAACAGCTCTCACAGTCAGGAAGTTCTTCCTCATGTTCAGATGGAATCTCCTTTCATGTAGTTTGAAGCCATTGTTCTGCGTCCTAATCGCCAGGGCAGCAGAAAACAAGCTTGCTCCCTCCTCCCTATGACTTCCTCTCACCTATTTGTACATGGCTATCATATCACCTCTCAGTCTTCTCTTCTTCAGGCTAAACATGCCCAGCTTTTTAAGCCGCTCCTCAACAGTCTAAGATATGCAGAGCTCACCATACTATTAACAGAAACAAGCAAAGACCTGTAAAAATTATTGAAGAAAGTCAACGAAGAAAGTCCAAAGGGAATTTTCAAATTGAACATCAAGAAAACAAAAATAATAACGACAAGCAATTTACATAACTTTAAAGTAGATGATTGAAGACATTTAAATAGTCCTTACCTTGGCTCAGTCATTAATCAGAGTGGAGACTGCAGTCAAGAAATCAGAAAAAGGCTAGGACTTGAAAGGGCAGCTGTGAAGGAACTAGACAGGATCCTGAAGTATAAAGAAATAACAGTGAATATTAAAGTTAGGATGGTCCCTGCCATCATTTTCCCTATTTCTATATAACTGTAGTTGTAAAAGATAACAGCGGGAAAAAGCTGATTGGGAAAAAAAGCAACTCATTTGAGATGTGGTGCTGGAGAGGAATAGTGTGGATTCTGTGAGTGCTAAAAAGATACATAAATGGAATCTAGAAGAAATCAGGTTTGATCTTTCCCTAGAAGCCAAGTCTTCTGCAAGGCTGTTATACTTCGGACACATCATGAGAAGACATGACTTGCTAGAAAATGTGACGATGCTTGAAGGCAGCTAACAACAAAATCCTAGGAATTCCACATGCAGCATGACCACTAGGCGTGTAGTTCAAAGTGATAACATTTCTAAGCTCTGGAGGGGACCACCATCTTGGAGATGAATCTAGGCCCATATATTTGTCCGAATATATGTTTTCACCTAATAGCTGATATCTGTCTTTCTGATGGCCTTGGCAATCTGTTTTAGCTTTCACTTCTCTATTTAAAGCACTTCTCTTCTTGATATCCACCACAAAGCCGAGTAAAAGCATTCTTTAAAACAAGATTTAAACAGCATTCAAAACCGAAGACCACTTAGCCTTTGTAGGGTTATATTTTATTATTGAAATGCCATAATGAAATCTCAAAATATGGAGATTTAATAAGGATGTCAGGTTCTCTGTATTGGCTGCCTCATGTGGAGAAGCTGCTGGAGTGTGTTCGTACTTCCAGAATGAATTTGTCAAATGGAGGAGAGGAAGTGAGTAGCATGGTTAACCCCACCTTCCAGTCTCCGTGTGTGACTGGTTCTTTATTTAAAAACCAAATTGGCATATAAATCGAGAAATGTCAGAATTACCAGGATATCTAGCTGGTCCCTTATGTATTGATCAGTAGTTATGCTAATAACACTCAGTGAAAGTACTTAAGGATGAAGTATGTCAAGGAACACTGTAAAATTACTGATACATGCTTTTTAGTTCTTATTGAAATCTTACTGGGGTTTTTCTTTTCATGATTTATTATTTAAAAAAAAAATGAGTGGAAAAATGAGCCAGAGCTTTGAGCTTTCTAGTTCTGTAATTCTGTTCTTTTGACAAGAATGGTTAATGAACTGCTGATAGATCTTAAGACTAGATAAAAAGTTATGATCAGAAGTGTTTTGTAGGAGTCCTAAGAAGGCCTATTAACAACATTTACTATGGCTCAGTTCTAACCTATTTGATGAAATGGTTTGATCCTCTTTATAGATTCTTTGGAAGATAATACCATGAGTATATTTGGAGAGGAGGAAGGAGAAGACGAAGAACTGGAAGCAGCTGCAAATCATTTAAACAAAGACTTTTACAGTGAACTTGTAGATAAAGACAAATCACAAGAAAAAGAAATTTCTGTAAGGCCACCCGCCCTGGAGTCACTTCTAGGCCCTCTCCCTACTGCGGCCAGCCTTGGGATAACAGAGTCGATCAAAGAGTGTATATTAACGAAAGATCGAGATCTCAGTAAGTATAAATGTAAATGTTTTAACTGGTTGTGATGCAGAATTCTGTGTAGTTGTTATATCAACATATTTTGTGAACATGTGACGAAGGGAGGTCACTAACTGTGCCCCCATTCCTTCCCACGTCTGTTACTCTCCTGGTGTCATTGAACATTTTCCAGTAACAATTGCATAGAAGCTATGGTTGTTCACTGAGGACTTTTACCTCTGTATGTCAACAAAATTAAGTATTATCTGAGGGTAATGGTGGATAGTCTTCACGTTAGAATCCATCTTGTCTCCTGTGCTATGCTAATAATATGTAATATAATATAATATATCATATGTACATATAATATTTATAATATTATGTAATACAACATAATACTAATAATTATAATATGATATTCTAATTATATATTTATATTACATGTAATAATAATAATAATTACAATATAATGGTATAGTACAATATAGTAATATATAATACTGATATTGTACTATTCTAATAATAAAATATATATCTTGTAAGCTGCTCTGAGTCCCCTTCGGGGTGAGAAGGGCGGCATATAAATGTCGTAAATAAATAAATAGAATAGAATATTTGCATCAGCCCAAAAGTCTTGTTATAGAATCCTAGAGTTGGAAGAGACCTCGTGGGCCATCCAATCCAATCCCTTGCCAAGAAGCAGGAAAATTGCATTCAAAGCACCTCTGACAGATGACCACCCAGCCTCTGCTTAAAAGCCTCCAAAGAAGGAGCCTCCATTACACTCCAGGGCAGAGAGTTTCACTGCTGAACAGCTCTCACAGACAGGAAGTTCTTCTCATCTGAAATGGGATGAGAGACTTCAGTACAACCTCATGTGGAGCAGGCCAATGAAATCAGGGGTGAGGAACTTTCACAAAATTTAAGACTAGTTCCCCAAAGGCTGTAGTATTAATCACATTAATTGAGATTGATGGGATTTGTGGGAGACGGAGGGAGAATGAGTGGCACAACAGCATGGGAGAGGGTCCTTTTTGCCCCAGAGACCCTTCCTTGGGTTGGACCCATGTATCTGGGCACATTGGAAGTGACACTGTGACACAATTAACCCCGCCTTATTTTTCTACAACCATAGAGTTGGATGAGACCATAAGGGCCATCCAGTCCAACCCCCTGCCATGCAGGAATACAAAGGCAAAGCACCCCTAAGGCTAGGCAGTTTACAATTCTTATAAAATATCAGGAAAAATGATAAGAAATCAGAAATTTGGAACCATTGGCTTCCATCCAATCATTCCTGCCCACAAAATGAACAGAAATTATTTTGTTTCACTTCTAGGAACTAGTAAAGCCCTAGGCTGATTTTTTTTACTGTTCTCTCCTGAATGTGCTGCCTGTTTCGTTGTTACTTCAGTATACATACTTCTGCATTCAGAAGATTCATTATAGTATTGGTGTGAATGTTTTGGAACATTTACAAGCTCATGTACTGCCCTGGGCTGTTTGTCCTCACAATAAGTTATTTGTCATTTCATTTGAACAGCTATTTCCTGCTGTCCTCTCTTGGGAACATTCATAAATCGATATACCTTTGAGCATTTTTGTGTAGTGGCAGCAAAATACCCCACTCTGGACTTCCTGATGGCTCTGTGAAAAACAGGTTGTTGGACTACATGGGTCTTTGCTTTGCTATAAGTTCTTAGATAATGCCTATAGTGCGGATCAACTAGGTTGGCAAAGTAGCAGAACTTTTCTACTCCAATTTCAGATTCAGTCAATTGGGGAATTTGTGGAGGCCAATGGTTGCTTCCTCCTACACCCAACTGGTTGCCCCAATGTGTAACTAGCAAACTGAAAGTGATATCATTTCACCTTTGGCAATCAATCTCAGCTTTTTTTTCACTAGAGGGTTGGGAGGAGTTGAGAAAAATTAAAAAAGGAAATGGTTGTGGGGTTATTGATTGCAAGATGTACAATCATGTGGCTCTTACATACATTTTAATTTTGGGAGTTGTGGAGTGGCCAGGATTTGCTAGCTTACAATGCACTAAAATGGACCCAGAAGCCTGTCTACACTTGTGCAATAAGTGACATTTGTCCCCTAGTCTTCTGGAACCACCTTTTCATATCTCTGGCCTTGAATAATAATAATAGAATCATAGAATCAAAGAGTTGGAAGAGACCTCATGGGCCATCCAGTCCAACCCCCTGCCAAGAAGCAGGAATATTTATTACATTCAAATTACCCCTTATCTCCCCAAGGGGACTCAGGGAGGATTCCAGCAAACAGACATAAAGGCATTCAATGCCTTGAAAACAGTCACAACACAAATACAATAATAATCCACCCAAATCTCAAAGCAAACCAACATCATACAGCAAATTATAACATTAACCTAAAATTACATAATCAAATAAATTATATCTAACCTAAAAACATGAACCTCCAATTCCAGAATCACAAAGGTTCCATTAAGAAGAGTGAAAATTAATTACGTTGCCATAATGTCAAAGTAGTAAATGCCACTACGTTGTCTTCTCTGTATATTTCAAGCATCTGTCTGTTTTTTATAACAGCCTTATGCCAGCCTCACTTTTCCCCAGATATCAAATTTCTCCGTTCACCTAAAAAATCCATTGAATTTAAATTTTGTCTTGAATTTGGAATTAACGTGTCACAAGCACAGACATTAATGGGTTTATTTTTTATTTGTGGTATTTGTATACCACCCTTCTCAATCCCAAAGGGGAATCAGGGTGGTTCACTGTGTTGGCAACAATTCAATGCCATCAATACAGCCATCTTTTACAGCAAGGTGGATCGACACTGCAGAATTAATGCACTTTGTCACCATTTTAACTACAATGGTCAAGTCTATGGAATCATGGGATTTGTAGTTTGGTGAGACATCAGCACTTTTAGGCAGAGGACGCTAAAGACTTTGTAAAACTACAACTTCCATAAGTCCATATCGCTTAGACACAGCATTTAAAATGCTGTCAAACTGCATTATAGTTGCACTTACAGCTATAATGTATATCTCAGAAGTAACACAAAGTTTTCCGTTGCTTTCTGTTAGAGGTATTTTGAGTGAGATCTTTCAGGTTATATGCTATGACATACATTGATAAGACATGTAACTCAACACACCAACACTCATGGTAGAGTAATTTTTGTTGAGGAGAGTAAAATGAAGAAATGACTTTAAAAAGGTAACTTTCCAAGCTCTGTGCAAAATAGATGTTCAAAAGTAGTATCAGTGAATGGGTAGTTTTGTCCCAGAGTTTGTGAACTGCAGTGAAGACAGCAAGGAGGTTTAGGCCATTGCTGTTCTTACTTGGATAGCTTTCCTTTAAAATTACCTCTTTTTTGTTTTGCTTTTTGGCCTCAAGGCAAGTCGTGCCCCTTTCCCCCGCAGTGTCCCTGCTCCTAGCTGCTTCCTCCTTTGCTCTTAGTGAGGCATGCGTTATTTCCATATTCTTCAGCACCGCTTGTCAAAATCCTTTAGCGTGTGACCTGTGGTTGCCCAAATGAAACTCCCTGAAAATGTGCAAATTGCTTTCGGTTTGTTCTTAATGTATATTCCATGTACCGTATCATGCTGAAAAGGTCCTTCGAAGCGCACCGTGATAAATCTTGGCTGAAGCAAGCCTTTTGAATCGAACCTTGCATGTGCAGCTCATAAATTTGGCAGTCTTTATAGACTGTTGTATCTGTGATTGAGCCTTCATTATGGCGTTAATGAGATGTGAAAATCTTGCTGCAGCCGGCATAGTGATAGTGGAATTTTCCTTCACTCGCCTCCCCCAGCGAGTCCATCTCCCGCTTCTTGTATCTGCAGCCTGTGCTGCCAATTGCAGAGGATGTGATTTTGCTACTTATGAAATGTGTGGGTTGAACTTAAAAACTTGTGTTCCTCTGCATGTTCTTTTGATTAGAAATGGACAGTTCTTTGTCCTTTCTCTCCTTTGGTTGAATCTGACTTTGAATGGAAATATGCAGTGCTTATCAACTCAGAGGTAACCTCATGTCACCGTTAAAACAGGAGAGAAAGGGAACTGGCAAGACTTTCCTTTTAGTATACAATAGCTCCATATACTTGGGAATAGATGTGTAATAGTTCTATACTAATCTAATCAAATGGAAAGATTGCTTTATTCCCTTAATAATCTCAAAATTGGTACTCTCAGTGTTTCATATCTTCGGTACAACTAGTCATTTTATCAAACAACTCCATTGTGTCAGAAAGAAAGAAAGAAAAAACACTCTTTTGGAAAAGGAGTTTTCTCTTTGCATGGATGTTTGATTTTCCACATCCTGCAGCATGATTCTAGATTATTCTTGGGCTGGAAGGACTTGATTTCAATAGGGTTTACTATTATATGCAGATTTGTGTATCTGTGTGGAAGCCAAGAACGTATCCACCCTGTGAGGACAGAGGTCATACTTTAAATATTGTTGTAAGAGTGATTTATACTATGCCTTATGCTTTACAGCAAGGGTCCTCAAACTAAGGCCCGAGGACCGGATACAGCCTTCCAGGGTCATTTACCTGGCCCTCGCTCAGGGTCAACCTAAGTCTGAAACTACTTGAAAGCACACAACAACAGCATCAACAATCCTATCTCAAGCAAGCCCACTCTTCCCATTGAAATACTAATAAATTTATATTTCTTTAAATTGTTCTTGATTTTGATTATTGTATTTTTTGTGTTTTTTGCGCTACAAATAAGATATGTGCAGTGTGCATAGGAATTCATTCGTAGTATTTTCAAATTATAATCCAGCCCTCCAACAGTTTGAGGGACTGTGATCTGGCCCTCTGTTTAAAAAGTTTGAGGACCCCTGTGTTACAGTATATTTTAAATGCTTTCTAGGAACTGAGTAGAGGACTGAGGTATCGATGGGTTTATTTTATTTATCGTGTCAAAAGCTATTTGAGGGTAAAATTGTAATGTATTTGAAAACACAAACAAAGTTAAAAACTTGGCATTATCCTAAATGCCCTTTGACCAGTAGCTGGCCACTTGGA